TACCCGTACCCAGAAGTTTCAAATAAGAGTCAATGTCGCCCGCTCTGGCCCCAGGGATGCACTAAACTGTACTCGCTGCTGGGTTCGTTCATTATTCTGGAACATCTTACATTTTTGTCCTAAAGCCATACATAATGTTATTGATTCCTGATCATGATACAATACTCAGAAATGCCTTTTTTTTCTAATATCTGAGCCTATGTCAACAACCATTTTCGATTCAAAGTATAAGTTCAAAGATCTGGCTTAATGGGAAAAGACTTAAGGCTAGTTCAATGCGATTTTTGTAATGGATCAGGACGAGCGCCAAATGTGTTTCATCACCCTGCTGTTGATGAATGCTAGAATTGTAAACCGTTTGGCACGCATATATTGTACTGATTGGCTACTGTTAGCAGACCAAAAGGACCCTTTTAGACTGTGAACAACCTTTTTTTTTTTTTTCAGTTGCATATTGATTCAGTTGCATATTAACCTGTTGTGAGACATCATGCCATAACTGGGAGCAATTAGTAAGCATCCTGTCGGTCAAATGAAGACAATAATTATATACAGTATGTACACATTAAAACAATGGTTTTCAACCCCAGGCATATACATCCCTCCAAATTGCACATTGCAAGTCAAGTTCTGAGACTTAAAAAATCCCAAATAATGAAAGGTTTTCACAGTAGAAGTAGGTTCATATAAAAAGTGACAGGCAGACAGAAATAACCAGGTTTACAAAAAATGTTTCCCCCTTAAACTCTTAAGAGGGGGGAAATATTAACATGTAAGGATTGTCACCACCAAACACCAAATAGACAACCCAGCCATCAGGATACCATGCAGTGGCATGTTTTGTCCCACTCTTTCTGGGTTAACGTCTGAAAGCAGACTGGTCTAAAACGCATCCCCTTTTCCTCCTCAGACATGCCTTTCTAATGTGTGCAGCATGTGGTTTATTTAATTTATCTATTTAGTTTGAAAAACTGTCATCTTAAAAGCAACACATGTTATTTAAGATATCTTTACAACTTTTTTACACTAATGCTGTCACCACAGAAGGGTAAATGAGGTTTGCCATGGGAACTGATACCGCAATATAAGATGACTGGGCCACGATTTAGGCTGTAAAACTTCCTGCTGATAACATCCCAGATGCTTTTTGTGGTCTTTGGTGTGGAGCGTTTTTTAAATTGAAGTGCATTATGCTAATGTGATTCTGTATTTTACTGCTTGAAAAATATTTCCCTCAGTAATTTGTTTTCATGGATGTTGCTTTTGCTAAAAATCAGAATTCTGCACCAGATTAGATTAATCTGATGGGGAAAAAATATAAATTCTTCTGTTAATTTTTTTATATCTGAACTTTTTCTCACTTATGGTAAAACCGATTTATGGGGATCTTCTGAAGTTTTCGCTGATCTGAATTTCTATAACTGTAAATGTCATGCAAAACTGGAGATGCATACAGGATTTGAGCAGTAAGTCTGATGAATATAATCAAGAACTATAACTGGGACTGGGCTGGTTATATGTATACCATTACATGTAATGAAGCGATGATCCTTCATTATTATTTGGTGCTCTCAGTAGTCTCTGGGTCACCTTATCCAGTGACATTTTCAAATAATATCAAGAAAACCTTGTTGCATGTTGAATTCCCAGAACAACAAGCAACAAAAACAATAATTTACTGTAGAGTAGATTTTTTTTTCTGTATTAGAATACAGAATACACAATTGTTATATTTGTTTTTAGAGTTCAGAATACATAAATATTTACAAAAAACTTACTTGTTTACAAATTACCCCCAAAAATGAGAGAAATAGAAAATCAAAAACGCTGGAGATGTAAAAATCCATCCATCCATCCATCCATCCATCCATCCATCCATCCATCCATCCATCATCCATCCATCTATCCATCCTTTTTTTTTCCACGCCTGCTTTTTAAATATGATCACATGAGAATTGGAGGCTACTCCAGAAGCTTGAACAGGTTAAAAAGAAAAAAAGTATCAAAACAAGACACACCAAACAAAGAAAAGAAACTTGTCCGCATGACATAGAGAAGTCAGTATGTTTGGTTAATGCATACAAACCATTGAATATTTCCATTATGTTTTTTTATTTTATACTGTCACATGTTTATTTTGCAAGCCACCACAACAGAGGGAAACTAAATGCAGGTTTGGCTGCCAGTTATATTTTGTGTGCGTGTGACCGTTCATGCAATTCTGAGTGCTTTATGTCTGATGCAAAACCCTGCCTGGTGGATAGGGGACAGCTTTGAGCTGTTAGATGCTTTTTGGAAGGGATGATTAATGATTCAACTTTGGCGTGCAGCTCTATGAAACTATTGGTGCCCTGGAGGCTTTTCTATCAGAAAAACTGAGAGACGGGAAGCAATGAATAATACAGCCATGTGTCATCAGCAAGGCAACTTTAGAAGGGAAATGCACAATGCTTCATCATATACGTCATGCCTGACAATTATAGCGACACAAGTAGGCCTTTCAGGGCTAACACGTATTACTCATATGTGATTTTTAATTCAACATTGAATAGTCAGTCCGAAGAATAAGTCAGAATCGGTTTTACAGCCCTCGGTTTTGATAATTTTCTTTTTGGTACAAGTTCAGCGAATTTCCACTCACCATCTTATGTTTGCTGTCTTTGTGCTTCTCCGTATTTCATTGCCAATGCTGTCCTGTTTTCTTTGGTTGTTTCAGCTGTTGTTTGCCTACATAATCATCTCCCCTCTATTTTCGAGCAACATCATCTAATTCACATTAAATAGTGTTTGCTGTGCTGTTCAAAAGTCTGTGAGCTGTCTGTTGAGCTCATAAACAAAACTTTATCACATTTCTCCAAGAAAATTTGTCTTCCCTGGATGTCATGGTAAGATTTGGAAATTGATTTCCCTATTAAAAATTATGTTGTGGATAGCATCATTTTAATTTTACCAAAACCTCAGTAATTCATCAAAGAAACGAGGCATGTTAGGTAAGTTTTCTTTCAACAGGAGTCAGTTCATAAGTTATTTAGTTATTTAGAAGCGTATTTATCCTCAGTGGTTTGAGCTAAGATGTATTCAGAGGTAGTTCTGTAACTGCAACTGTGTTGCCACCCCAGGGAACAAGCCTGCAACTATGTTAACATGAAGAGATGTTATTATAATGTGTCCTGCAGGCTGTGTTACACCAAAGTTTCACACGAACACAGCATTTGAGGATAGTTTATGATTGGACTGTTTATGGCTGGACTGCAGGTACACATACGGACTCAGAATTGCCAGCTGTCTTGCAGACAAATAAAAATCTATTTGATCTCTTTTTTAATGTGAGTTACGGCTTTTAGTCTCAGTGCCTTGGCGGGAGACTACAGTTGATAAATATATTCTGAAGCACAAAAGGGAGTAGTTCCAACTCTTATAACCATGATCTTAGCAACTTTATTTAAGATACACCCAGATAGTGTGCCTCTATTAATGTTCAATACTTAAATGTGTAATATAGTAATTTCTCATTGGGAGGCCTTTTTTGTGCAATTTTTAACATAGAATTTACAATGACAGAATATTTTGAACCAGACAATATTAGGCTCCATCTGCAAAGAGTAATATGGATTTTAACCATAAACCTGTTTGGATTCTGTTACTTACCAGGAAGCTGCCATTCTTCAGTTTATTTTTGAACATAATTGATTTTATAAACTCTTGTGTCCATTTTAACTACCGTGTTCTGTATATTTTTTACATGTATTAAAAAAAACATCTGTTGAGATGAACACAGAAATTCCCTCAAACACTAAAATGATTGGGGCAGTATTTCCAGTAAGCTGCTTCTAACACTAGTTTGTTCAAAGCCTAAATCAAAGGACAAACAATAGACTTGTATGAATAACATATAAAACATTGAAAGCTGTTTTTTTTTTCTTGGGATTTCTAGTTATTCAGAGAACTACATGGATTCTAGGAAGCAAGGAGTTTAGATTTTTTTTTAAGGGTTATTTTTTCTGATAAAAAAAACAATGTTAGGAAAACACAAAAAAGGTTGCTTTGATTTTGTTTGCACTCAGACTTTGCAAAAAACTCTCAAGACAAATAATGCAAATCCATAACAGTCCATTTAGTGAGTAAGAAAAAAAAACTACCACAAAGAATAAACCGATTTTTTCTTCTTCCACATTTCAGTCCCAGATGGTAAATGTTGTGTTAAGTCATATAAAACATTATTGGTGTATGTTGAGTTTGGCCTTACTCACTTTTTTAATTTTTTTTTAAATAAAAGTCACGTTTCAATTACAGACAGAAAAATCCAGAAAATCTCATTTTACATCAGTGAAGGTTAACTATCCTTAAACAATTAATAACCTCCAGTCATTTGATAAGCATGTGATCATTAATGTTTTTCATCCTAGACACAAGATTGAAAATCCTTTACCCACAAATGACTTATTTCTTCTTTTATGATACAAAATATGTTAAATTTTAAATCAAATGTAAAATCTTAACTGTTAAACATAGGGGGAAGTTACATGCCTTCAAATAGGGTACATAAGGAATAACCCATCGGCTCTTTTCGCAGCACTTATGTGTATCAATTAAGTTTCCCCCGCAGCTTAAATTTTTTACTGAAAGACAATTTCAACCCAGACAAAGATACTTCTTTTTACATTGTGTAGCCATAAAACGGAAAGGAGGTATATAAGCTGGTGTATAAAAGCATGGTTGAATTAAAAGCATTAGACTTCACAGTCCATGTTACATATTGATTTATGTTTCACAGCTCAAACATAATTTCAGATAATATGAAAGTATAATCCAACAGTCAATATGTAAAGAAAATTGAAAACTGTATTGTATAATTATCCACACATTGTCATACCTTTGAATCCCTCCTGAAATATTTGCATGTCTTTGTTGCTACGTTTCCAATTGCCTTTCAACTGTTCCCATCATCATAAAAACAAAAATTATAGTGCTAATCACAGTTTGATAAAAAAAAAACATAGGCTTCTAATCTCTGGGTTTTTCTTTGCAAGTATTTTTGTACATACTTACAGACTATTGGCCCCAAGGAGGGATGGCAGGTGTACAGCTCAGCCCAGGATGCTGACGGCCGCTGTATTTGCACAGTGGTGGCACCAGAACAGAGCCTGTGCTCTAGAGATGCCAAGAGTCGACAACTCCGCCAACTACTAGAGAAGGTAAGCGTGTGATAATACATTGTATTTGCGATCTTGTAGATGCAGAAATGATTACGTTTTACTGTGTGTTTTCACTTATTCTTTATTGTACTTTGTATTAGAATGACAGCTTGCTGATTTAGATTTTTTTGTTGTTTTTTTGTCTTTTCAAGTTAATACTCAAGATTGCCCAGTTTGGATTGCAGTGCACTCATCACAATCTCCAAATAAAAAGTCGCTTTCCCAGAAATCAGAGAACTCATCAGAATATCCGAGTCATCCCCTTGTCAACTGGACCCCCTACCCACACCATTTGTTAAAGCCTGCCTCCCTTCTCTGGTCCCCCTCATTTCTGTCATTATCCACTCGTCTCTCACCACTGGAACTGTCCCTACATCCTTCAAAACTGAAGCCATTACCCCAATTTTGAAAAAGCTTGGCGCCAACCCCTCTAACTTCAACAACTTCGGTCCTATCTCTTATCTTCTTTTGATCTCCAAAATCCTTGAAAAAACTGTCGCCTCCCAACTCCACTCTCACCTATCCCACAATAACCTGTATGAAGAGTTCCAGTCCAGTTTCTGCCCATTCCACAGCACTCAACAAAATCCCCAATGATCTCCTCATGGCAGCTGATTTTGGACTCTCCACCATCCTCAACCCTCTTGAGTGCAGCCTTTGATACCATCCGTCACTCCACCCTCCTCAACAGGCTATCTTCCACTGGCATCACCCACACTTCATTAGACTGGTTTGCATCTTACTTCTCTGGCCACACTCAGTTCATTCAACTCAAGTCCCTCAATCCATCCCCTCATCTGTCACATGAGGAGTGCCAGGGTACAGTCCTGGGGCACCTTTTCTTTATCATCTACCTCCTTCCCCTTGGCAGTATCTTCCGCAAATTTAACGTTAATTTCCACTGTTATGCGGACAACACCCAGCTCTAGCTCCCTACTAAACCCTAATCCACTCTTCCGTGCACCTTCCTCACTGATTGCATCTTTGAAGTTAAAACCTGGTTCATCCAAAACGTCCTTAAATTAAACAGCAGCAAAACAGAGGTTCACCTCATTGGCACCAAATCCACCTTATCCAAAGCCGACAGCTTTTCTATCACATTTGATAATTGTCTCCCTTTTCCCCAAAGGTTAGGAGTCTGGGTGTCAGCTGTCAAGGATGGCTATCCTTTCAATCCCACATCAATAACATTACCAGGTCTGCCAACTTCCACCTACAAAACATAAACTACCTCCGCCCCTCCCTTACCCCCCAAACTGCTGCCATCCTCGTCCACAGCCTTGTCACTTCCCGTCTGGATTATTGCAATTCTCTGTTCTTCGTTTTCCCTCACAAATCCCTCCATAAACTTTAACCGGTCCAGAATTCAGCTGCCCGCATCATAACTCGAACCAACTCGATCCACCACATCACTCTTCTAACAGCTCCACTGGCTCCCGGTTCAGTTCTGTATTCAATTAAAAAAATCCATCCACAACATCTTATCCACATTCCCACTCCCTCAGATCCTCTTCCTCCATACACCTGTTTGTCCCCTCCGCCTGTCTCAGTACCATGGGGAGCAGAGCATTCAGCCGCTCTGCCCCCGTCACTGGACTTCATTACCATACCAACTCAGAAACATCGACTCACTCCCCAATTTCAAATCACAACTCAAAACTAATCTATTTAAGACTGCCTTTTCTATCTGAGGCCTATTGATATTGGCATTGCCTCTGTCTATTTTATTGATTTTATTGATCTTTATTGTTGTTTATTTTAATACATTTTTGTGTATCTCTGTGCACACTCCTTGAGTGCAGAGAAAGGCGCCTTAAAATAAAATGTATTATTATTATTATTATTATTATTATTATTATTATTGTTGTAGTTGTTGCACCTGACCCCTTCAACCCCTCCCATGGGTGGTGAGCCCATTGAAAGGGGAACCCATGTGACCCTTTCGGGCTGAACCCAGTCGTGTTCCATGGGTAAAAGACCGGCCACCAGGCGTTCGCCAACGTGCCCCACTTCAAAGCCTGGCTCCAGTGGGGCCCTGGAGGCCCTTGGTCCATTTATGTGAATCATCATAAAGGGTCTTTAGGCTGCGTTTCATCTGATCCCTCGCCTATGACCTGTTTGCCTTGGGTGACCTTACCAGGGACTTAAAGCCCTGGCCAACATCGCTCCGAGGATCATTGGGACACTCAAACCCTCCCCCACCACGATATGGTTGGGGGGGTTATTAAGACACATTACATTTTTTAGAAATATGTCTTTAATGTGGTCACGGATTTAATGTAGTTTGTTACATTATTCTTCAAGACGAATAATAGTGTGTCATTTTGCTAAATATCAATATGATTTTGGCAAAATCCCACCTCTCGTTGACTCCCACTGACAGCTGTGGGATTGGTTCCGGCCCGTAAGCAGGAGATGATATTGAGAAACTTATTTAATTTAAAAGCACTGTATGCATAAGTGACATACGTGCCATCTGGTGTGTAGTGTTTATAATTGAGCGTTATTGCCACTCAGATCAAAACTTTTCTGCTATCAACTATTTTTATCGTTTTTGTTTTTTTGTCTTTTGTCATGCGAAAACCAGAGAAAAACGTATACATTTTCTTTGCAAACCAGAAAAAAAGGAACCCCAGTATTGTGGAATTTGAATATTTAATCGTCTAGCCATTGTTGGAGAAAACAAGCTTCATCTTGGTTGCTGACCATTCAAACCAATTTACAACAGTGTCTTTGTTCAGTTGGAAATGAGAAATGCCAGACTGAAATTGTTATTCAGTAGTAGTTTGAGAAAAAATACGGAGTTCAAGGTTTGTATTTAGCCAAAGTACCCAAGGCGAAACCACTCATATAACAGGAATTAAAAGATCCGCTATAATCCCTGTTCCCGATACCAAATCACAGTTCGGATAATTTACTAAGAGTAAGGCAAGTTTGTCTTACCTGAATATGAACTAAATAAAAACATGAAGTAGCATACATATAAAACATCTATGTCAAACTCTCTCACAAACTATTCTGAATACTAGTTTTACTAGATTATGTACAATATTCCATAAAAAGTTAGAATTTTTTTTTAGAGATTTTCAGGAATTTACATGAAAGGTTTTGATTGGTTTCCTTTAGCTTTTCAGTAATTTATTTTAATTGTTTTCAATGCAGTGTGTAAAGATCTTCTTTCATTAAAGGAATTCAGTTGTTTGAGAACAGTTCATTAGTATGTCTGCAAAGAGTGGTACTGTATGTTGTCATAGGTCACAAGTTTATTTGTAAAGTAATTCTGAATAATGTTCCTGGTGACCCCCCACACAATTTCACCAAAAACAAACTATAGACCCTCCTATGTAAATTTGTATACCATTCCACTGAGCAAAATTGTTGTTCATTCATAACTCTTCAAATGGCTCATATGAGCAGTCTGTAAAATGCCAACACCCCGAGATGGAAAAAAAAATGCTGAAGTAGGGGTGTTTGGATTAAATAGCTTAGTGCTATTTTTATTTTTTATTTTATTTTTTACATATAGTCTTTACCAACCGATTTAGGCAAGATTGTTTTTTGAGAAGAATAAGCGGGCCGCAGCGTAGCCTAATGGTTACAGCGGGTGGACCATGTGTGAGGACCTCCTCATAAGTGGGCGGCCTGGGTTCAAGTCTGGCCCACGGCCCTTTCCCGCAGGTCTCCCCCTCTCTATCTCTGCCCCCTTTCCTGTCAAGCTACTGTCATTAAAGGCCACTAGAGCCAACAAAATCTTTAAAAGAATAAGAACATACTCGTATATAGGGCCAAAATATGTCCTTTACCATCATGATCATCATTTTGGTGCTCGCAATGGTTACGTGTCATCACAATGATCACAACGGAATGCCTTTTTCGGCTGGTTTCAGAGAATCGCCTGGTTAGGGTTACTAGACTTTTTACAATACAACTTCATCATCATTGAATTATTCTTAAAACGGCTTTTCACACACTCCCTCAATGTAATTATGAGATCGTAATAAGAAATGAGTCATGATTGCAGATTTTAAAAGAGAGGGGTGCTTTAATTGACTTACTCCAAGTGTCACAGACAGGTAGATGAAAATGTAAACCAGCATCAAATAAAAGAAAAAGGATTGACAGATACTTTTACTCCGTTTTCGTCATGCCTGGAGCTGTTGTTTTGAAAGCATTACTGCAAAAAGTTCCATCACAACCATTTGCATTCACCCCACCTTTGTCAGTTCCCAGAGGCACAGATGTTCACAAAAGATTTTCCCTGAAACTGAAACAGTTGTTTCTGCATAGCTCTTCAATCAACAGCTGTAAAGTCAAAACCTCGGACTGGAATATGGAATATCTGTTCATATATCACGACTTGTTTCACTGCAGGTGCAGAACATGTCTCAGTCCATCGAGGTGCTGAACTTGCGCACTCAGAGAGATTTTCAATATGTCATGAAGATGGAGAACCAGATGAAGGGCCTCAGGACCAAATTCAGGCAGATTGAAGATGACAAGAAGTCCATCATGGCCAAAAATTTCCAGGTATTATCCAAGTAGCATTGAGTCAATACTTGGCATGATTAAATGCTCGTTGTGATCCATTCCATTCAGCTGTTGTCAATTTACTTTAATTGTATTTTTGCAAGAATGATTTCAGAAACAACGTTATAGAACACGTCACAATTCCCTTTGACTTCTGACATATTAGGAATATATTAACCAAAAGACCAATGAGGCTGATATGAGGGTGTGACAGATTAGTGTTACATAATGCTCTTAGATATTATTTGGCTCCATCAACTGTCCTGCATGAATCGGACAGCTGATGTAGTATGAATATCTCTCATGCTGAGTGTTACTTTCACATCAAATGGATTGGAAATACATCAATAAAGCCAATAAATTACTATATATTTTCAATGACAACTACTTTAGAACAAATCATGAATTGGATCAATGTTGTGTTTAATGACACTGAAAGCATTTTTAACATTAGCACTTGCCTGCACTGTACTTGCCTGGGCTAATTTTCCACCGTGAAACAATACAGTGACATGGGACTTACAGCTGTCAAAGATGCATTCCTTTGGTGGCAGATAATTTGGGTTCGAGCAGAGGTATAAAATCCTTGCTTTCAAACTCTTGTCAAACTATGTGTAATTATAACTCTTCCTGAGCTTACTGGCTGACTCTAGCTGCGTTTCCCATCTCTACCTCTGGTGCCTTCGGCCCTGCAGGAGCTTAAGGACAAGATGGACGAGCTGAAGCCGTTGATCCCTGTGCTGGAGCAGTATAAGATGGATGCCGCACTCATCTCCCAGTTCAAGGAGGAGATCAGGAATCTGTCCATGGTGCTGACAGGGATACAGGAGGAGCTCGGAGCATACGACTACGATGAGCTTTATCAGCGAGTCCTTCGGCTGGACAGCAGGCTCCGAAGCTGTATGGGCAAACTAAGTGAGTCCTGTTTATGTATGCTGCTCAGGACTTTGTCAAGTTTGAATTCCTTCTCAGTGATGCATTGTATGAATAATTGTTTTTGTCAAAATTGCACCTCTGAATTGTTTTTGACGTCTTCTTGAAAAATAGTACAGGGATTGCTCTAGTTCATGAATAATGTGAATAATGTTAGTACAAGAAATATTTGCAAGAAGCCAGCGCTTGTCAAAGCCATAGGAGAAGCCATATTTGTCCTTTTTTTACTTTTAACAGGTAAAGCAAGAGAAAACCACCTCAAAGGAAACATAAATAGAAAGTATTTCATGCTGGACAGTCTTAGTAGATTCAGTTGTGTATAAGAAACAAAAAGCTTTTTGATTTTTTATTCTACCGATATTTATACTATACTGTAGGTCTTTGCTTTGCTACACTTATTTGTTTTTTGTCATTACATCCTGCATTACTATTGCTTTACTATAAAAAAAGACAGCAATACATTTTTTTTTACCACATCTCATCATTAACAGAGAAAAATGGACTTTATCTTATGCTCCTTTGGGCTGTAAAGTATGGAACTGTGAGATTGCCATATGAATATAATAAAAAAAAATGTACATATGCTCAGTTAACATGCTTAACCTGCCACGTAATGTAATAAAATTCAAACACATAGATTTGAATTTAAAGTGATATTTCAGGATCATTTTCAGTTGTAGGAAGATTTTAAGAATTCAAAAGTTTTTTCATTTCTTTTGTTTGTTCCCTGCATTTTGTTTCTGTGTTTTCATTTTCCTTCTAAACCTATTTGGTCACTGTTCATAAGCTACATTTTTTAATGAATGAACATTTTCTTTATTTTGTCATTTTTTAAGTTATAAATATATTTTCTTCTCTTTTTTTTCTTTACATTTTCTACCCTGTGCATTGTTCTGAGTTTAATTCCCCATACGGATTTTGCATTCCTGTAATGATCGCTACTTCATGATGCCATGATGTCCCGTCTTTCAGACTATGTTATGAGCTCAGCTTCTCAAATTTTTTTTGGTCATGAGGGTGCAGAGATATTGTGTCATAAAATGGCACAAAAAATCCCAAAGTGTTAAAAACAATACTCTCTTTGAGACAGATTATTCTGCTTGAAGAGAAGTTGTTCCTCACTTAACATAAAACTTTAGACAGATGCTCGCAACATCTAGCAAAAATGACACAAATGGAGAAGTGAAAAAGAAAAAGATGGATGATGAAACACAAGAATAGAGGAAACAATTATGAGGCAAAAACATTATTAAGTTATTTAATTTATGTAATGTAGTGATTCAATAAAAAATTCAAATTACAAATTATGGAAATAGCTAATGGGAAAATAAGAATAGATCCATAAGTTCATTCATTATCGTAACCGTTTATTCCCTAATGGGGTTGCGGGGGGACTGGAACCTAACCCAGAAGTCAGTGGGCGAGAGGCCGCCAGTCCATTTCCATACAGAGACACACAAGGATGAAAAATCAATCACACTCACTCCTAAGGGCAATTTGTAATGTTCAATCAACCTAACATGCAGGTTTTGGGACAGTGGGAGGAACCCGGAGAGAACCCATGCAGACACAGGGAGAACATACAAACTCCACACAAAGGTCCTGGTTCCCCCGGGGACTCTAACCCATCCATCCATCCATCCATCCATCCATCCATCCATTCATCCAAAAACTACCCAAAGTTCGTGGCCATAGATGAGGCCACGAACTTTGGGTACTGACCGAACCCTCACATTTGGGCCTGCCCCGGTCTCACCGGCATCCTCCCCCACCATAGGAACCAACTCACCACCAGGTAGTGGTCAGTAGAAAGCTCCGCCCCCCTCTTCACCCGAGTGTCCAAGACATGCGGCTCAGCTGAAAGGACAACAAAGTCGACTATTGAGTTGTGGCCTAGGGTGTCCTGGTGCAAAGAGCACATATGGACACCCTTATGCCTAAACATGGTGTTCGTTATGAACAATCCATGCCGAGCACAGGAGTCCAACAACTAAACACGAGACGAGACCGACTATGTCTAGCCGGAATCTCTCTGTTCAGTTCGCCAAGGTCCCCGTCTCCGGCCGCCACCCCAAAACACAACGCACCCGACCCCTTTGGCCCCTCCTATGGGTGGTGAGCCCATGTGGCCTCTTCATGCTGGGCCCGGCTTGGCTCCATGGGTGAAAGCCCGGCTACCAGGAGCTTGCCAACGTGCCCCACCTCGAGGCCTGGCTCTAGGGTGGTGACACGTCCGGGCGATCACACACACACACATATAAATATATATATGAATAAATGTATCCATTTATTCAAATCAAAACTGCTCAGCACGAGTCCAGTCTGGACACACAGAAATTGTACAGGGCTGGACAGATTTAGATTTAGCAGAAAATGAAAGGGCCCATTTGCAGCCAAGTACGACGAACTGTGTCTTTCTGCTTGGGCTGCAGATGATTAGCCCATTGTGATGGATTCTATCATTTTGAATCAAGAATAGTCAAGGATAAAGATATAACAAACAATCCGTTCAAGGTTTTAATATCTTCATTTATTTTTCTGTTTATTAAATATCAATGTTCTGTTAGCCCGATGATATCAGCCATCCCACTATATTTAAGAAGTAATCAAAATACTTGACAACGTACAATAACAATATAGATTCAATTTAAATTTGGTAGAAAAATAAATACAAAGTTGCACTCAGTTTAAGCAACTAAAATGGACATTTATTATTATTACTCTCTTTCTTAGTATGTGCAGGCGGCACACTCACTGTGCTTGTGGCACAAGCATGAAATTGGCTTGAGAAATCTAGTTAGGGACAGAAACCGACCCAGCACATCTTATCGCTGCGTTTCTTTATTAACAGCTTGTGGGAAATTAATGAAAATCACTGGACCTATAACAATAAAGACATCTGGAACTCGCTTTGGGACATGGATGACTGATCCTCTAGGAACAACCAGAAACAACAGGGTGAGTTATGAAAGCAGGGGCGGGGGGGGACTTTGGTTTACCGCAACTGTTGTGTTCTAAGTCTAAAGAAACCGCTGTTGTTTGGAACCTGTTTTGTGGTTTTGAATTTAGTGGTTTGATTTGGTTAGTATGTCCTTCTGGATTTCTGATTTTTTTTATCTAAATATTATTAGGACAGAGTGAGTTTTACAAAAGAGCTCATGGATGCTGAGATATCCATATGATGTGATTCTAACTATTTACTGTGGTCCTAGGTTTGGTATATGGATAGCTACATGAACAGCAAAATCGTGCGCGAGTTTAAAACAATGGAAGACTTTGTAGCAGGAGTGGTTTCGCGAACCTACACCCTCCCATTTAAATGGGAGGGAACTAATCACATTGTCTACAATGGGTCTCTTTTCTACAACAAGTACCAGACTAACATAATTGTCAAGTACAGCCTCGAGACGGGTAATATCCTGGCCCAGCGAGCATTGGAATTTGCTGGCTTCCACAACATGTACCCGTACACTTGGGGTGGATACTCTGACATTGATGTGATGGCTGATGAGCTGGGAATGTGGGTTGTGTACGCAACCAATCAGAATGCCGGAAATGTGGTCATCTCTCAGCTGGACCCTGACACACTGCAGGTTCTGAAAACGTGGAACACCGAGTACTCCAAAAGGAATGCAGGTGAATCATTCATGATCTGCGGAACGCTCTACATCACTAACTCCCACCTGTCAGGAGCAAAGGTTTACTACGCCTACTCCACCAAGACGTCAACGTATGAATACATAGACATTCCTTTCCACAACCAGTACTTTCACATCTCCATGCTTGACTATAATGCCAGAGAGAGAGCTCTGTATGCCTGGAACAACGGACATCAGGTCATCTTTAATGTCACCCTGTTCCATGTCATAAAAACAGATGACTCATAATTATTGGACTTTTCCACCAGAAATAAAAAAAAAGAAAGAAAAACGATAATTTGTGATTCAAGAACTAACAACTTGTTCCTGCTTTCTCTTGTCAAACAATACATATTTACTTGTTATAACTTGGACTAATAGAATTTGTGGCTCTGTATACTTGAATAGAGCATTGACTTTACTACAAAACATGCTCAATTATTTTACACTTTGCCATGGCTGCTTTTCATACAGGTCTGCCTTATTTGCTATGTGTTGGCTTTTGTTGGCCAAAGACTCTGGACAGCATCTGCATGAATGTCAACACGTTGTCAGCTATGATCTGCTATTATACATCTGTGTTTCATTGCAAATCTGCCCCTAGTTTACAGTGTTTGCTTTAGTCTGTTTAAGAGCCTATCGAAAAAGTATTTCAACTTTAAAAGTAAAGGAAAGCATATTTGCCACAGTGTATTTTCTGAAATGTAGTAGCCATTCTTTTAAAGATGTCAAATATTGTTGTTCTGAAGTCTCTGTGAAATAATATTTGTATTTTTTATAAACAAAATCATGGGTGAGTGAAAATTATGAGTGTCTTTGCATTTTCATTACTAATACATCTGATTAAAATGCTTTTGACTGCGATATGATTTTTTTTTTTTTAAAGAGGCCATCTGACTGTAGCTGAGTCTTTCAGAGGGAGAATATGGTACACATGCTAACAGAAAAGTGTGATCTATCCTAACTTCCAACTCAAATTTGCCAATCCCAGACAAAATAACTATGGATCATATATTTTTTTGCCACCTTTCCTGGATCTTAGCTCATTGTAGTATTCACAGTATTCACAATGTGTATTAACATAGCATTTGCATGTAACATTACTCCCCCCCCCACCCCCTCCCTCTTCCCAAGCAGGAGTTTGGGCATCACAAGGACAAATTCCATCCTGCCTGTGGATGTGGACTTCAGCTTGCTTACACTTACACACACACAACTACAGACTTCATGCATTCCTTGGACTCACTGCCTCGCTGTTACCTTTCCCCTTCCTTCCAACCCCCCCATCCCTCCCTCCCTATGTGTCCTTGATTTGACTGTATCTGTGCTTAAGTGTACTGAGGTGTTTTTTAAAATCACTGTTACGTCCCCTGTAGGGGGCGTGGCACTGGGCCTTTTTTTTCCCTCTTCCTGCAACCGCTTTCCCAATGTATTCTGTATTCTTTTGGTTCTGAAGATTTGATTCTGGCGCTGTGTAGACGGCTGCCTCTCCAGTATCTTCTGGTAACCTTAATTTCCTGAGGGAGTCTTCCCAAGGGATCAATAAAGTTCAGTCTCAGTCTAAGTCTAAGTCTAAGTCTACTGGAGTGAAATGGTTCTAGACCAACATATTCTCTGATCCAGAAGAAATCTTCAACAAGAAAAGGCTTGTTTATATGTAATACATCAAGATAGCTCAGAAAGTAAAGGGTTTAAGCATTTAAAATGCCCGAGCCTGTCATCCACTGTAAGTTAAGATGAGCTCAAAACATCGATCAGCTAGGGGCGAAGGGGGAAACTATTAAAACAACTCAAATCACATTCCAAGAGTTCACAAAGCTGTTGAAGCTGCTTTTTTTCAACATGTTGATAATTTGAAATAAAAAACCTAGTTATTGTTTTATATTTAACATCGTGTGCAAATCACACCATTGTGCACTCGTTTTTACATTTCACACAGACTTTTAAAGAGTGCAATATTTATTGTATAAGTTTTCCTGCTATGAAAATATTCCACCTAAACAGGCATTAATCCGTATTTGTTCCCATGCTGTTAGTCAGCAATCATACAGCGCATGCTGAGTCGGTACACGGTATCACACACACGGCATGAATAAAAATACTTTCCCATCATTCTTTGCATGATCACAGAAAAGCACCTTTCCAGTCTTTGTTCTCTTCATTCCATGAACGTCTTTCCTTTATGTCGAGCATTCTCCAAAACAAACTAAGTGAAAACCGAACTTGTCAAATCATAAATAAAGTAATGTCATCACGAAATATGTTCTTAATGTGCAGATGCTGATGATCAGGAAGTTGTGACAGAGAAGTCAATGAGACGTCTTTCACTTTCAGGAGCTTCTATACTCCCAATAGAAGGATTTACTAAATATGCCGCAGCATGTTTCTAATCCTTGTTCTCTACATGGTCCTGACTTAAAATGAAGATGAAGTTTCCATATTATTATTTTTCCAGTTTATTAGAAATTAAATGCACAATTAATGCAATACTCTGTCAGAAGACTGCAAAGAAGACAGTAAGCAGAAGTTGTGCCCATACTTTTATAGCATCTTCTCTTTTCCATGATAAGAGAGAAACGAAACAGATGTGGTGATTAAATCATCTCTCGGGAGGTGATGATGAAATATCTATGAACTCTATATGCCAATGATAGGGATGTGAGAAAGCGGCCCGCCAGCCCCCGTCTCACGCCAGAGGAGGAGTAAGCATAGGACTTACAAAAAGGTGGTAAGAACCAGATGACGACAGTTCCAGTGAAAAAAAGTGTAGCGGTTTATTTACAGGTGCGATGGTGAAGACAAAACAAAATAAAACAAACAAAATACTTTCAAACAAAGAAAACAAAACCGGCCATTGCAGGCAATACAAAGAAATTACAGCCTCACTGCAAGCTGACATCAACTATAGTTTTTTTTTTTTGAGCACTCTCACCTAAACCAACCACCAGCAGCCTCCTCCAGCAGCCTCCCTGGCATTGTGAGTAGGCCCCTTAAATAGGCCCACCAATCCACACCTAATTGGGAAAGCCCAACTCCACAGGAAGCAAATCCCCAATAATGCACAATTAACACCGTAATAAATACCATACATCCCATAGCATCACTCACAAACACATCCACACTTATACAGACAGTTGAACCATGCTAACAGTCCCCATTCATCTAATAATTCCAATTACAATCGTTACAATAGTTATTCCCACCATTTACACCCCTGTCCCCAAATAGTCGGGTCCACTGCCGTGGGAAAATGAATAAAATGCTGGCTCCGATGCGGAACGTGTTTCCATACGGACCAGTTTATTGACGGACCAGGAACGGGAAGGTGTATGTTTGGCTGGGAAGTTTTATTGTCGACTACGGAATGTATAATGAAGCTGTTTGGTAAATAAAGTGTTTAATAAAGTGTTAAATGGAAGGTGTTGTTGTAATATTCGAACTATCGTAAATTACCGGGTGAATTGTTTGTAACTGCCGCCGCGACGACGGCCGGTCTGTGGTGCATGCTGGGAAATGTAGTGACGCTGTGTGATAGACGGCGGCTGCTGTGCGGGAATAGAGGGGGAAAACGATTCCGTTTCCACAAGGGACAATTAGATGTAGGAAAAAATGTAATTTTCCTTTTCCTTGCCACTTTTCTTCAATTATCAACAGACCAGATATGGTTATGTAAGTTTACTTTTAGTGGACCATGATTTGACAAATCTGTCTCTTTTTTTCAAGATGTTTATGCATTTAGCAAACACTTTTAACCAAAGCGACTTACAAAGTAGATTATATACATGTTTATCCTCCTGTCGTTTTCATCGAACCAGATTCTCCCTTGTGACAGGCAGGGACACTCACCACAAGATGACTAGAGTCCTTTAAAATCTGCATTGAACTATTGCTGATGGGGGCTGGAGTCCTTTTATATGTGACGGATGCTAAAAGAGGATAAGTATGAGGGAAACAGCAAGATTTACCATAGAGGATGGCTGTCTCTGCAGTGAAATAAACTATTCATACTCACAGAGAGGTGGAATAGCCCCACCCTCTGCATGATACAAGCACCATGCAGGGAAGCATATCCAGTCACAAGGTCTGCTCTGCAGTCCAAATCCTGAATTTCACTAGGAATCTCATAAAGACTTCTTCATTGTATATCTGTTTCCAGATGCCTGAACAAATTAAGTGCACTTAGACTCATTCTGCTCTTTAACAACATCAATGTGTCGTACCTTTTTTTATCTTTACGATTGATCTCATGCATGTCTAACAGGGCACCATAAATCCTTACCTCAGTTTATCACTAATCAATAAAGAGACAAACATCCAAACAGAAAAACTCTCATCCAATAGCCAGTGTATGATGTCCAATAAGCTAACATTATTTTAATCAGTGGGAAGTCGAAATATCCACACATAAACAGGGAAAAGATGGTGGCAGATGGTCGAATAGCACTGGCCAGACATTCCAACTCTGCTTAAACGTGAGTCACAAATGCCAGTCAGTGGATATAAAGGTAATTTTATATAAGCAATTCGCAATCAATGGATTTTAATTTATTACGCAGTATGTAATTACGATTTTAATTTTAAGAACATTCCATCTGTCTTCCTTCATTTATTGATTCCCCCTCCTGGAATCAAAAATGTAAGTGACACTCAGCAAAAGCTTGGGATTCCCTTTACATCCACAACACTTTCACCAACAAATAAGGGGGGGGGGGGGGTCTTAATTTAATAAAAAATGGCCCATGCTCAGAACCCACTTAGCATTGATCTTCCCACTCTTCCTTGGTGAAAACAGTGTGGGATTGTCTGGAAGGCTGACTGCCTACTGATGGAGAAGCGTCTGATCAAAGTCTATATTTCTTCCAACATCTTTATCTGTTCTCAGCAGCCGGCAGAGAGTACACAGAACAAACAGGATGGGGTCCAGTAGTCGCATATCAGACTGCAGGTCTAAAGGGGCAGCAAACTACTGAACTGACCTAACTGTTGTTTTGGAAACTTTTGGGATTCTTCTGCCAAAATAGAGATCAAGCCAACATAAAAGATCAGAAATTGAATTTTTTTTGTCTTTCAAGAGAAGAAGGCAGGTTTGGTTTATGTAAAAGAAAGTACCATATTGGTTATGTTATCTATGCAGTGTAAACAGGTGTAACTCCTTATTGCCTTATCCATGTATGTTCATTTAACTTTTTATTTAAGTAACTGGAAACCATATTCTGAAAGGAATTGCATTTAACTCTGCCTACCTTTTTTATCTTCACGATTGATCTCATGCATGTCTAACAACATTATTTTATTAGCATCATCACCACACAGTAAGAGGGTTTCTGGTTTGAATTCCGGGGGGACTAGGGTTCTCTCTGTTTAGAGTTTCCATGCTCTCCCTGATACTGTGTGGGTTAACTCTGGGTGCTCTGGCTTCCTCCCATCGTCCAAAAGCATACATGTTAAGTTAATTGAACACTGTATATTGCCCTTAGGAGTGTGCCTGGTTGTTTTCTGCCTTTCGCCCAACATCAATGTGCTCGGGCCCCGTCCCCCTGTGATATGACAAGGAATAAGTTGAATAGCCAATGGACGGCATGTCTGACAACTGTTATCTTGGAATTAGGCTTGATACATATAGGAGAAAAAGAGGACCAATTTATTAGTTTTCAAGTAAAAGCTATTAGGATTTTTTTAAATCAAATGTTTTTGTATTCAGCCAACACTGTGAACAAAGATGAGAAGCTGTGGATTGATGTGGATCCATTATGATTCCATTCACATTCTCCACAAAACTGCACAGGCCGAAAAATGGCTTTGAAAAAA